CATCTTACAGCTTGAACGCAGACGAACATTCTGTAATTGCCAATGGGCAGAATTGTTCGGAAATGAAATATGTCATTTTGTTTTCTGCGTCATTTTTATGGCGTTAATATATATTTAGTATCGTCATTTTGACTCGTTCTTAAGCAACTTCTTGTAGTAATTCTGTAATCCTTATGTGCCATTCTCAGCGTGTTATTTTACGCTAAGCGGTGACTCTGAAACGCAAATAACTGTCATTCTCAGCTCAACACCTTAATGTCTGATATGTAATCCGATTCATTTTTAAATATTAGCGGTTTCTAAATAAGCTTGTTTTGTTTGTTTATTTGTTGTTAACAGTGACGTTAGAAGCGGGAGGTTCCACTTTTCAGGCCCGGCATGGCCAGGTGGTTAGGGCGCTTGCCTCGCAATTTGAGGGCCGTGGGGCCGTTATAATGTGACGGTCACTCCCACTATTCGTTGGTAAAAGAGTAGCCCAAGAGTTGGCAGTGGGCGGTGATGACTAGCTGCCTTCCCTCTAGTCTTTCACTACTAAAATAGGGACGGCTAGCGCAGATAACCCTCGTGTAGCTTTGCGAGAAATTAAAAAACAAACAAAAAAGCACTTTTCAATCTGTCCCAGTAAAAATGCATTAAAGTTGGGAAATTACTGTCAGAAAAAGCAGGAGAATGAATGAAATTTATTTCAGAACCCAAGAGCTTCCAGGGTTCTAAGGCGATCCCTGGCCCTGGCCGTAATGGGTGTGTGGTGAACATTCCCTCGTTTCACTCAGTCAAATAAACCTTAGCCCTTTCCCCCACTTTTAACTTGCCTCCTACACCTCTGTTAAATGTTAAACACAAAAACTACATTGTGGTTTTGCCCACCACAAGTATCGGAACCCGGTTTTTAGAGTCATAAGCCACTGGGAGCATCTAGATAAAGCAGTATTTTATTTATCAAAATTTTACTAAGATAATAAATAGCGTTCAGCTTGTGGTAATATTGGCATTTACAAAACAGATATATTTTGTTTTGTTTCTTTGTTATTAAGCATAAAGCTATACAATGAGTTATTTTTCCTCTGCCCATCGCTGGTATCAAAACTCGAAGTTTTGCGTTGGAAGCTGTGAGACGTTCCGTTGAGTCACCTGGGGCACAATATATATATATATGTATATGTATAAAGAAGTAAAGCCCCTGAAATAAACTAGTGTGCCAATAGAACTTATTATCTCAAAGCTACACAATGTTCAGATTCGATGGCGAGGAACCCTACTTGAGACTAATAATGCGTTGGAGGACGGCTTGAAGTGGGGTAATGAAAGAAAAAACTTAAATTAATTAATTTAAACTAAAACTAAAC